TTAATTAAATACAATATTGGTCAACACAAGTGTAAGTATTGATGGAATCAGAATCAATGTGTATGTAAGCTGTATAAATAATTTTTTGATCAGTACAAATAATTGCTTCGGAGACAGGCAAAAAAAATTTTTTTTGAATAATTTAGCAAACAGCATTTGTAAAATGCACACCAAGGAGCTTCTTACTTTCTTGATGTCAAAAATGTTTATCATTATAGCTCCCATGTAAATTTCCTTCAATCTTGCTAGGGTAACAAATTGAACTAGATAATGTGACAATAAAGTTTTCAACTTCATTAGAAATTGGCAGATATTACTCAATATCTCAGATATAAATTCACAATCCGGGTTGGATTCTCAAAAAAGTTTAGATATGTTAAAGTATAGAAAAAGTTAAAGTATTCACGGAAATATTAGGTCCAATAAGCCAAACAGGCCTTGGGCTGGGATTGAAAAACAGTTGGTTCATTAGGCCTGGTTTCTTAGGACAGGTAGGCGTTGCACAACGTCAGCTGGAATTCAGCGCTAACCTCTGATAAGTCAATTTGTGAGCTAGACAGCAGACGCCATCGAACGCTCAGCTTGAACGACGGCTGACGTTCGAATCAACTGCTGTTGGATTACAACGTAGCGTTAACGACAGAAGCAATGTCGGAAGCATAGCTTCTTCATTTAGCTAAGCTATAATGTGTTTTTTCTTGGACAAAGTCATTATTTGTTCTCTAAATCACTAATCGGCAATGACAAAATCAATACAAATTCAAAATAAATATTTGTTTACGCTATTAACGCATGTGCAATGCAAGATAATGTCTGCGTTGGACAGACTGCTCACGCTGAGCTAACTAAGGCTTGGTTTCTTAGGACAGGTTGGCGTCAGCGGGACGTCAACGTCCCGCTGACTCCCAGATAAGGCACTTGTCTTAAGAAACCAAGCCTTTAGGGAGTTTTGGAGAAGCCAGACCCTACCAGTTAAACCCAAAGCGTCTCAAACCATTGTAAAACTATGAAAATAATGTTAATTAACCTATAATATATTCTATGATAGATATATAACCTTTTAATGTTACACAATAAAGTACGTAATCATTAAAATGTTTATAATTCCTTGTTGCTCCATTACAATTTCTCCTGAACAAACCCAATTTTTTTCAAAAACGGAAAGTGAAACGACCCATTAGGAATTCCCCCAAGGTATCAAACATGCACTCAGGGACAGGCCATAAGTCCTTATATTATTCTTACAAGCTTGTTAAAGAAATTAAACAGATTTACACATAATCAAGGTAACAAAACTTTCTGGGGTTTAGATTTAACCTGTTCAACATTTACTTTGAAACTAATACTCTGCTTGATACATTGCATTTATTAATGTGCTTAAATATATTTTATACCTAACATTAAAACCTCTGTTTAGGTAAATGGAATCAACACTCAAGGTGAGAACATTGCTGACAATGGAGGAATAAAGGAAGCTTATCGGGTAAGGCGGGAAAAATTTATCGATATAATTTACCAGTTTTATTTTCGTCTTCAATCTTCCATAATTTTATTTTGAGACATAAAGTGACTTGATGCGAATCTCAATAATAATGTACATAATATGCATACAATTTTAAACGTAGAAACTAAGTTCGTAAACTAATAAATGGGTTAATTAAAAATCAATAAATACAGATAAAAGTAATAAATAATTGAAAGTCGAAATCGGCAACTTAGTTGCTAACGATTTTCAATAAGATCGGAATGCTTATCATAATGGTTTCACACAATTCAGAAAAAAATAGGTTATTATTATTGTTGTTGTTGTTAATTACCATTGAATCATATTTAATTATCATATTTTAATTATTTTTAACATCAACTATTTAAATTATTAATTGTTTTTCTCGTTTATTAGTCTTATTAATTTATCTTAATTGATATTCTTATTAGATATTATTAATATTTATTCTTATTTATTATTCCTTTTAATTATTTGTGCTTGCTATTCTTGTTAATTATTACTATTATTGTTACAATTACTGATTATTAATTATTTTTCCTTATTATTATTGTTATTTAAATTTTACTACAGGGTTATCATTCTTGGGTAAAAGATCACGGCCCTGAAGGAAGATTACCAGGATTAAGATACACACCCAGCCAGCTTTTCTTCATTAGTGCTGCTAATGTGAGTCTGCATACATAATTATAACATTAAAAATATTGTTAATTTTTTATTTGTTAATATATTATAAAATAGATCAAAATTTTGAATGAAATATGTTTTGATTTTTATTTATGAAAAATATTCCTTCTTAACATGATTGATTCAGCATAATTTTAAAATATTTGCTTAAATCTTCATCTGCTATTTCTGTACATTATAGGCATGGTGCTCAAAATATAGGCCAGAACAATTGAAACTGATGGTATTAGCTGATCCTCATAGTCCAGGTGAATTTAGGTAAAATATTTTTTTCTTGCAAACAAATAACTATTACAAAATAGATTAAGGAATATAAAAACAACATGTGACTTGTTAGTGTATTGGTTGGCAAATAGCCAAGCGGTTCAAATGCACTACCCTACCATAATAAACGAGACACTTTAACATTTTGACTTTTTTTTTTTAATTTTTCACGAAATACCCAGAGAACTATTTTGTAACTTAGGAGTTTAGTTCGTGCGATCTTTACAACTTTGCAATAAGGTTTAAAACCGTTTAGAGGCTTGAGAGACAGACAACAAATCACGAAAGAAAACTAGTATTTTTAAACATCTTTCAATAAACTTTTGACTTGTATCATTAACTTTAATTGTTATTTGCGACAATTGCTTAAGCTTTCGCAATTCCAGCTTAAATATTTATAGAAATATGGACATTATCTAAAAAAACTATTCCTTTTGGCTTACGTTTTTTGCTATAATTTTTTGAAATATTCAGTAAAATTTAAAAAAAATTTATGGCTATTTTGAATTAAATACAAAAATTTTGCTTTAAAATTTGAAAAAAGTTCACTTAAAACTACGCAAAATACGAGCATTTAAAGTTGTTCTTTTGTACTGCGCATGCGCGTAAAAAAATTGATTTTTTCTTCCTTCGTAATTTTGTAGTGAATTGTATTTGGCAACTAATAACAAAATTTCATTTGATACAGTGGTGNCGTAGAAAGTTTCGAGCAATTTTCTATGTAGTTTTTGTAATTTTTAAATTAAAGCTCAAAATGATCAGGGTTTTTCAACAAATTTTATTGAATGTACTTGCTATTCTGTTTTAAGTTACTGTCATTTGCAATACTATAAAATGAAATTTGTGGAAAATCCCTCGTCATTTTGAGCTCTATTTCCGAAAGTCTCAAAAAAAAATTTGTTTTATAAAAATTTCCATATCTCTATAAATATTTAACTTAGGCTTATAAAATTTTATGCAATAATTGCAAATAAAACCAAAGTAATCGATACAAATTGCAAGCTCATTGCTTGATTTTCTGGCATAGGGTGTTAAAAAAAAAACTTGTTTTCTTTCATTATTTACTGTCTGTCTCTGAAACCTCTGAAAGGCTTAAATCTTATTGCTAAGTTGGAAAAATCGCATGAACTAAACAACTCTAAAATTACAAAATAATCCATAAGTCCGAAATTGTTCTTTTTGCCATAATTTCTTGTTAACAAGCTGATAACTATTTAAAAAAGGTAATGAAGATGTTGCCATAATGATTAAAATTTGATTAAAATGTTTCAATAATGATTAAATTATGATCGAAATGTGGCTACATCACTTTTTTGGACTTATTCTGTACCAAGTGCTGCTAAATATTTTATGTTTTTGGGTGTGTGCTTTCACCCAGTTCCTAAGCTGTCACGTGAAAAGTTAACAATTTCAAAAAGTGATTACTACAAAAAGACTAGCTCAAGAAGTATTCGTTTTTGTTTATGTGAATGAAGATTTTTCTGGCAATGGAATACATGTATAACTTTCCCTAAACTTGCCAATCCATAATAATTTGTTGTTTAGAGCATAACGACATAAGATTGCTGGAAAAAAAATTTTCATCCTTCTTTATTGTTAGTTTTCTCCAGTCTAAGGAGTGTCTGTGATGTTTTGGTAATCGGTTATAGCCCTTCTTTTCAAGATGATAGTAGAACCATTCACTTGGGCTTTGCAGAACATGTGATAGGTTTTTTAAACACCCAATTAAATCTAAATTATCCTGCTAAACAATCAGGTTTGAGCCCCATGAAAATTTGTAGAATGTTTTGGAACAGTGGATAGAAAGTCGAAATCAATATACCCGCAATTTCATAGATTTGCGAAATCAAATGACAGAAAGTGATGTACCTGAAAAACATTGGTGATTTATTTACTAACTGAATCCAGGCGGTTGTAATTTTAGGGGCGTAATTATACAGTATTAAATTATGCTTTACTCGTTTTCTCCAAGAGTGACTGATTTCTTTTCTTTTAAGATTTTATTATTTAACGATGAAAGAAATTTCCAAAATCTAGAAGATCATTATTTTAAACCAAAATTCTAAAATGAACTTTGTTAACGGTAAAACAATTATATTTATTAAAATAAATGATAAGTAATTTTTCCAAATTTCATTTTCATAATATAAAAATTTAAAAAAAAACAATCTTAACTACTTAGCACGGAAAATGTGATACGGTTTGTGTACTATTATAATCATATTTTCATCATTTCTCACATCTATTCTAAAAGACAGTTAACATCCAACTCTATGCATCTAACGCTACTCAAACTATCTCACATGCTCAAGTGTATCGAAATTTAAACTGAAAATAACAACAGTAAACAAACAGTGAGGAATTTTCTTACAGCCGGTGAAGACAAATTCCTATTTCTAATTATAGTTACTTTTTTATTGTTAAAAATTCTTCAATACTCATTTTCTATATACCTAATCGATCTTGTGCAACGCTTATTAAGAGTCCTCTTTAGAAAAAAAAAAGGGAGGGTTCTACTTGCCCAGTGGGTACCTAAGGGGTACCGGCAATATTCTTACTTATTAAACATTTGAGTAATTTTTCGGAATATTTTTGTCTTATTGGAATTTGTTCTTGAACGCAGTCACAAAATTTTAAAATTGGGTTTTTAAAATTCTTCCAAAGAAACTTTGAAAACTATTTAAAACCACTTGCATTCCGATTATGAAAATAACAGTCAAAACTTTAACATTTAAAATTATTAATAAGTCGTTGCTAAATCAATAAGAAACTTTCATGCATTCGTTAAATAGTATAGGATAAAGATTTCTTAAAGAGGACTCATAAAATTTCATCTTTGTTTTAAAAGATTATTAAATGTTATTTTATTTTCTCAGAGTGATAGGTCCTATGTCCAACTTAAAAGAATTTTCCACTGCATTCAACTGCCCCCTTGGATCGACTATGAATCCTGAGAAAAAGTGCGAAGTTTGGTAAAAGTTCCAGAAAGATTGATGAGTCTTAGGAATAATTTATTTAATGTGTGAGTGCTTAGAGTGATGCATCAATGCGCGAAGATTAAATTGTTGTTTTATTTATGTTATGCATGTTTCAATAAAATTGCAAAATACCAACTATTTTTTTTAAAGTTTTATTTTGGATTAATCTGTAAATACATATGAAACTATTCAAACGAAAATATATATTTTTTTTTGAATTTTAAATTTTTTTAAGTACAATTTGTACGGTTAACTTAATAATAATGGTTACAAGAAACTACAATATGCGCTATAACACCGGGTTTTTTTTTCACATTTTGACTGATTTATATTTGTAGTAGATGTGCGACCATCTCTATTTTTCTTTCCTTTCAGGTAAGTAGCGCTCCTTACGTCATGTAAGCTACGATTTTCAAGATAGGGAAATCGACTTAGTAATAACTGTGCAAATGTCGGAAAGGGTGGTATTGTTAGTTCCATTTTCATGTGCTTAGAAAGCACTGTGTATGCATGATGTTTACTTTGCAATTCATGCTTTAATCAAACTTAATTTTCCGGTAACTGTTTCGGTTTTTCTCAAGTTCAACCGACAAACAGTTGATAGCAGACACTGGTTAGGAATCAGCATGGAGAAGGATTTAGTATTTGGAATTCCAAAATTGACATCGTTAAATTATCCTCTTTGGGCAATGAAAATTGAAAGCTTTTTTGAACTTGAAAAGACTAAGGCCAACTTTAACTGACGAAGCTTCGACTGACCTAACTAAACTCACCATTTGGGAGACTACGAATCAAGACGTAGTTCTTTAAAGTTATCAATATCCGACGAGCAAGTTTTGCAGTATACCGCAGAAAAGATTTCAAAGGCATTATGGACTAGCGACCTACCGTGGGCTTGAAGAAGCTAGAAAGATTGACCCTGGTAACGAACTTAAAAGCTTAGAGATGCTGGATTCGGAAGCCGTGACAAATTATATTACTCGAGCCAAAGGACTAGTGACAAAATGTGTTGCCCTAGGATTGAAAATATCTGATAGCGTTTTACTGTTTTTCACGGTCAGAGGTCTAGCTGGAACATTGCAGGANGGACAACATCCAACAGCACATTGAAATCAGCCAAGATTTTGATTTTGACATTAAACATAGCTTCTTCATTAAACATAGCACTCTTCATTTAGCTCAGCTATAATGTGTTTTTTCTTGGACAAAGTCATTATTTGTTCTCTAAAACACTGGTCGACAATAACAAAATCAATACAAATTCAAAATAAATATTTGTTTACGCTATTAACGCATGTGCAATGCAAGATAATGTCTGCGTTGGACAGACTGCTCACGCTGAGCTAACTAAGGCTTGGTTTCTTAGGACAGGTTGGCGTCAGCGGGACGTCAACGTCCCGCTGACTCCCAGATAAGGCACTTGTCTTAAGAAACCAAGCCTTTAGGGAGTTTTGGAGAAGCCAGACCCTACCAGTTAAACCCAAAGCGTCTCAAACCATTGTAAAACTATGAAAATAATGTTAATTAACCTATAATATATTCTATGATAGATATATAACCTTTTAATGTTACACAATGAAGTACGTAATCATTAAAATGTTAATAATTATTTTTTGCTCCATTATAATTTCTCCTGAACAAGTCCTATTTTCTTCAAAAACAGTAAGTGAAACGACCCAATAGGAATTCCCCCAAGGTATCAAACACGCAGTCAGGGACTGGCCATAAATCCTTATATTATTCTTGCAAACTTGTTAAAAATATTAAACTGATTTACACATAATCAAGGTAAAACTTCTTGGGGATCAGATTTAACCTGTTCAGCATTTACTTTGAAACTAATACTCTGCTTGATAAATTGCATTTACTAACGTGCTTAAATATATTTTATACCTAACATTAAAACCTCTATTTAGTTAAATGGAATCAACACTCAAGGTGAGAACATTGCAGACAATGGAGGAATAAAGGAAGCTTATCGGGTAAGGCTGGAAAAAAATTTTAATATGATATACCAGTTTTATTTTCGTCTTCAATCTGCCATAATTTTATTTTGAGACATAAAGTGACTTGATGCGAATCACAATAATAATATACGTAATGTGCATACAATTTTAAACGTAGAAACTAAGTTCATTTAACAAATAAATGAGTTAATTAAAAATCAATAAATACAGATAAAAAAAATAAATAATTGAATGTCAAAATCAGCAACTTAGTTGCTAAGGTTTTTCAATAAGATCGGTAAGTTTATCATAATGATTTCTCACAATTCAGAAAAAATTAGGTTATTATTATTATTATTATTATTATTGTAATTACCATTGAATCATATTCAATTATCATATTTTAATTATTTTTAACATTAATTATTTAAATTATTAATTGTTTTTCTCGTCTATTAGTCTTATTAATTTATCTTAATTGATATTCTTATTATATATTAATTTTTATTCTTATATATTATTCCTTTTAATTATTTGTGCTTGCTATTCTTGTTAATTATTACTATTATTGTTACTCTTACTGATTATTAATTATTTTGCTTCATTATTATTGTTATTTAAATTTTACTACAGGGTTATCATTCTTGGGTAAAAGATCACGGCCCTGAAGGAAGATTACCAGGATTAAGATACACACCTAGCCAACTTTTCTTTATTAGTGCAGCTAATGTGAGTCTGCTTGCATAATTATAACATTAGAAATTATTGTTAGTTCTTTATTTGTTAGCATATTATAAAATAGATCAAAATTTTGAATGAAGTATGTTTTGATTTTTATTTATGAAAAAAATTCCTTCTTAACATGATTGATTCAGCATAATTTTAAAATATTTGCTTAAATCTTCATCTGCCATTTCTGTACATTCAGGTATGGTGCTCAAAATATAGACCAGAACAATTAAAACTGATGGTGTTAGCTGATCCTCATAGTCCAGGTGAATTTAGGTAAAATATTTTTTTCTTGCAAACAAATAACTATTACAAAATAGGTTAAGGAATATAAAAACAACATGTGACTTGTAAGTGTATTGGTTGGCAAATACCCAAGCGGTTCAAATACACTACCCAACCATAATAAAAGAGACACTTTAACATTTTGATTTTTTCTTAACTTTTTCACGAAATACCTAGAGGACTATTTTGTAACTTAAGAGTTTAATTCGTGCGATTTTTAATACTTTGCAATAAGGTTTAAAAGCGTTTAGAGGTTTGAAAGGCAGACAATAAATTACGAAACAAAACTATACTATTTTTAAACATCTTTTAATAAACTTTTAACTTGTATCATTAACTTTAATTGTTATTTGCGACAATTGCATAAACTTTCGCAATTACAGCTTAAATATTTACAGAAATATGGGCATTATCTAAAAAAACTATTCTTTTTGGCTTACGTTTTTTGCTATAATTTTTTGAAATATTCAGTAAAATTAAAAAAAAATTTATGGCTATTTTAAATTAAATACAAAAATTTTGCTTTAAAATTTGAAAAAAGTTCCCTTAAAACTACGCAAAATACGAGCATTTAAAGTTGTTCTTTTGTACTGCGCATGCGCGTAAAAAAATTGATTTTTTTTCCTTCGTAATTTTGTTGTGAATTTTATTTGGCAACTAATAACAAAATTTCATTTGAATGTCTTAAAACGTAGAAAGTTTCGAGCAATTTTCTATGTAGTTTTTGTAATTTTTAAATTAAAGCTCAAAATGATCAGGGTTTTTCAACAAATTTTATTGAATGTACTTGCTATTCTGTTTTAAGTTACTGTCATTTGCAATACTATAAAATAAAATTTGTGGAAAATCCCTCGTCATTTTAAGCTCTATTTTAGAAAGTCTCAAAAAAAATTTGTTTTATAAACATTTCCATATCTCTATAAATATTTAACTTAGGCTTATAAAATTTTATGCAATAATTGTAAATAAAACCAAAGTAATCGATGCAAATTGCAAGCTCATTGCTTGATTTTCTGGCATAGGGTGTTAAAAAAAAACTTGTTTTCTTTAATTATTTACTGTCTGTCTCTGAAACCTCTGAAAGGCTTAAATCTTATTGCTAAGTTGGAAAAATCGCATGAACTAAACAACTCTGAAATTACAAAATAATCCATAAGTCCGAAATTGTTCTTTTTGCCATTTCTTGTTAACAAGCTGATAACTATTTAAAAAAGGTAATGAAGATGTTGCCATAATGATTAAAATGTGATTAAAATGTTTCAATAATGATTAAATTATGATCGAAATGTGGCTATACTACACTTGGACTCCTTCTACACCAAGTGATGTCAAATATTTTATGTTTTTGGGTGTGTGCTTTCACCCAGTTCCTAAGCTCTCACGTGAAAAGTTAACAATTTCAAAAAGTGATTACTACAAAAAGACTAGCTCAAAAAGTATTCGTTTTTGTTTATGCAAATGAATATTTTTCTTACAATGGAATACATGCATAATTTTCCCTAAACTGGCCAATTCATAATAATTTGTTGTGTAGACATTTACGACATAAAATTGCTGGAGAAAAAAAATTGTCATCCTTCTTTATTGTTACTTTTCTCCAGTCTAAGGTGTGTCTGTGATGTTATGGTAATCGGTTGTAGCCCTTCTTTTCAAGATGATAGTAGAACCGTTCACTTGGGTTTTGCAGAACATATGATAGGTTTTTTAAACACCCAATTAAATCTGAATTAATCTGCTAAACAACCAGGTTTGAGACCCATAAAAATTTGTAGAATGTTTTGGAACAGCAGATAAAAAGTCGAAATCAATATACCCGCAATATCATAGATTTGCGAAATCAAATGACAGAAAGTGATGTACCTGAAAAACATTTGTGATTTATTTACTAACTGAATCCAGGCGGTTATAATTTTAGGGGCGTCATTATACAGTATTAAATTATGCTTTACTCGTTTTCTCTAAGAGTGAATGATTTCTTGTCAGGTGAGATTGTATTATTTAACGTTAAAAAATAATTTCCAAACACTAGAAAATCATCATTTTAAACCAAAATTCTAAAATGAACTTTGTTAACGGTAAAACAATAATATTTATTAAAATAAATGATAAAAAAATTTCCAAATTTCATTTTCATAATATTAAAATTTTTTAAAAGAAAATCTTAACTACTTAGCACGAAAAATATGATACGGTTTGTGTACTATTATAATCATATTTTCCTCATTTCTCACATCTATTCTAAAAGACAGTTAACATCCAAATCTATTCATCTAACGCTACTCAAACTGTCTCACATGCTCAAATGTATCAAAAATTTAAACTGAAAATAACAGTAAAATAATAATAAGGAATTTTCTTATTGTCGGTAAGGACATTTCTAATTATTTTTAGTTGCTTTTTTATTGTTAAAAAATATTCATTGCTCACTGTCTATGTACCTAGTCCATCTTGTTTAACGCTTATTAAGAGTCCTCTTTCGAAAAAAAAAGAGGAGGTGGGGTTCTACTTGCCTAGTGGGTGCCTACGGGGTACGAGCAATATTCTTACTTACTAAACATATGAGTAATTTATCGGAATATTTCTGTTTTATTGAAATTTGTTCTTGAACGCAGTCACAAAATTTTAAAATTGTTTTTTTTGAAATTCTTCCAAAGAAACTTTGAAAACTATTTAAAACCACTTGCATTCCGATTATGAAAATAACAGTCAAAACTTTAACATTTAAAATTATTAATAAGTCGTTGCTAAATCAATAAGAAACTTTCGTGCATTCGTTAAATAGTATAGGATAAAGATTTCTTAAAGAGGACTCATAAAATTTCATCTTTGTTTTAAAAGATTATTAAATGTTATTTTATTTTCTCAGAGTGATAGGTCCTATGTCCAACTTAAAAGAATTTTCCACTGCATTCAACTGCCCCCTTGGATCGACTATGAATCCTGAGAAAAAGTGCGAAGTTTGGTAAAAGTTCCAGAAAGATTGATGAGTCTTAGGAATAATTTATTTAATGTGTGAGTGCTTAGAGTGATGCATCAATGCGCGAAGATTAAATTGTTGTTTTATTTATGTTATGCATGTTTCAATAAAATTGCAAAATACCAACTATTTTTTTTAAAGTTTTATTTTGGATTAATCTGTAAATACATATGAAACTATTCAAACGAAAATATATATTTTTTTTTGAATTTTAAATTTTTTTAAGTACAATTTGTACGGTTAACTTAATAATAATGGTTACAAGAAACTACAATATGCGCTATAACACCGGGTTTTTTTTTCACATTTTGACTGATTTATATTTGTAGTAGATGTGCGACCATCTCTATTTTTCTTTCCTTTCAGGTAAGTAGCCCTCCTTACGTCATGTAAGCTACGATTTTCAAGATAGGGAAATCAACTTAGTAATAGCTGTGCAAATGTCGGAAAGGGTGGTATTGTTAGTTCCATTTTCATGTGCTTAAAAAGCACTGTGTGTGCATGATGTTTACTTTGCAATTCATGCTTTAATCAAACTTAATTTTCCGGTAACTGTTTCGGTTTTACTCAAGTTCAACCGACAAACAGTTGATAGCAGACAGTGGTTAGGAATCAGCATGGAGAAGGATTTAGTATTTGGAATTCCAAAATTGACATCGTTAAATTATCCTCTTTGGGCAATGAAAATTGAAAGCTTTTTTGAACTTGAAAAGACTAAGGCCAACTTTAACTGACGAAGCTTCGACTGACCTAACTAAACTCACCATTTGGGAGACTACGAATCAAGACGTAGTTCTTTAAAGTTATCAATATCCGACGAGCAAGTTTTGCAGTATACCGCAGAAAAGATTTCAAAGGCATTATGGACTAGCGACCTACCGTGGGCTTGAAGAAGCTAGAAAGATTGACCCTGGTAACGAACTTAAAAGCTTAGAGATGCTGGATTCGGAAGCCGTGACAAATTATATTACTCGAGCCAAAGGACTAGTGACAAAATGTGTTGCCCTAGGATTGAAAATATCTGATAGCGTTTTACTGTTTTTCACGGTCAGAGGTCTAGCTGGAACATTGCAGGATAATGCAGATAACATTGCAGATAAACCTGAAAATATAAAAACAAATTAAAAATTAATGGGTAAATACAATGATAGAAACCAGGTTAGTAGAGCAGTGGGTTTTAATCAAATAAAAAACCGCGATTATTCAGAATCTTATTCACCAGTATTAAGTATTGTATCTTTGCGTTTATTAGTAGCGTTATCAGCAAATTTAGATGTTAAGTTTTTTTGATATCAAAATTGCATATTAGTATAGTGGGTTAGAAGAAACTGTTTATACGTCAATTCCCCCATGTTTCGAGCACTCTTAAGTCGAAAATAAAGAAGTTAAAACGTGATCTTAACGGATTATAGCAATCTGGTGGAAATTACATTGGGATATATGCTTATAATATTATAGTTACATATTCTGATTTACAGATGTAAAATAATATAGTAGGAAAATTATCTCAAACATTTAAACTGAAAGAAGATACAAGTAACAGATTTCTTTGTATTGAAATAAATAAGAAATGAAAATGGCATAACTTTACCTCAAGCTGAGTGCATAAACTATTTATTTCAAAAACATGGTATGATTGATTGCAATAATAATGTAGAAACACCAATTTTAAAAGGTGAGGATAAGAGTTTCAATTGTTTCAAACGAAATTATAGATCAAACTAAACATCAAGAATTAATTAGTGAACTTTTGTACTTAGCTAATCGAATTCGACAAAACTTTAGCTTTTATTATGAGTTACTAATCGCAGTTTGATTTGAAAACAATTTAGGCAAAAGAGTGTTAAGGTATCTCAACGGTACTAAAGATAAAAAGTTATTTTATAGCAACAAATCGGGACTCTTAAAGGTTTCTGCAGATTCAAGGGGGGGGGGGAATACTGAAAATGCAAAATCATTTTCGGGAGAAGTTGTAATGTTAGGAGATTTTTTAATCCTATAGAAAAGCAATCAACAAAAAAACAGTGGCTTTATCCACTTGTAAATCTGAATTTTTTCCTTTAGCGGAAGTCTCTAAAGAATTAATTAATAATGTTGTTAAATACTTTTGAGGAACTAAATTGGTTCTATGTTTGTAGAAGAAAGCTCTGATCATTCCTTGTGACAATCAATCTGAAATTGATTTTTTTAAGTAGAATAAATTCTCTTATAGCACAAGACATATAAATTTGAGACTTCATTTCGTTAAGGATATAATTGGGGAAATTATAAAAGTTAAATATGTTCAAACGGAAGGAATGATGGCAGATTTCCAAACCAAAGTTGTGAGTTTTGACAAGTCCATTTAGTCTCTGACAAAAATAAATTATGTTGATTAATTTTCGCTTTACTAAAAATTAGCTTGTGTGACTTGTGTTACGTAAATAAGGTAATCAAGATAGGAATTTCGACAATTAAACAACTTTATTTGCCGGTAACTATTTTTGTCTTTCTCAATTTCAACAAATAACAATTGTTCCCGCCTGAAAGTAAAGTATGATAAAGAAGTGCTAAAAGAGTAACACCATTATTACTCGTAGAATGATCGAAAGGAAAAGGTCCTTTCCTTTCTTAGTTTCCTATTGTTCCTAAATTAGTTCTTCCTATTGTTATATTCTTAGGCATGTCTCTGGAAGTAAAAAGCATTGTGCACACAGTCATACAGCCCATCTACCACTTATAATTAATTGAAATAATAAATCCACTAAACACTTTTTTTTAATGTATTTTAATTAATTGTCAAAAACATTACCCGCAATGAAGTCTAAACATTATTACAACTTTTTAAATTATGTAAATAGAACTACATAATAAAGCTATTCTTTTATTTATAGATTAGTTCACATTGCCTATAATCAACTAAAAATTCTTTAGTTCCTTGAAGAAAGATGGCAGCACCAAAACTTTGTCTTGATATGGTATTTTGTATATTCATATCTAATATGTTTGACAATGAACTAAACTAATTAACCAAAAAGATAGTGCAGAAATTATTCAATAAGTTTTATCAATTTTTATCGCTACATACAGCAAGTTATTATTTCTAAATTTTATTTACGAAATTTTATTCTAAAAAATAATTTTAATTTTTTTTAAACAAAAAATTTATCACTTGAAGAACCATTGAGGATCAGAGGTGTGTGGGTGTCTGGTATAAACACCTTGATTATTTTGAAGTATATACATACTTGCAAAAAGGACTATTGTATTCTCTGAGCAAATAAAAAAAAATTCAATGAAAAAAGGAAAAGAAAAAAATTGGAACATCCACGAAAACCCAAATTTCCTACTTCAAATTTTTATATGTGTAAAATGTAGTGAAAATGATTTTGTGGTGACTGTCAAAAAAGAAAATTATTATTTTACAAACAAAATATTCTTCTTTTTTTCTTAAATGTGAAGACAATTTTAATATTTGTTTTCTCCAACATAAAATTTGCTTGACACTTGTATTTAATTTTTTAAAAAATATTTTGTATAATCTAAATATTTACTGATTAAAAATTTTATTTTCGTAAGAATAGTAGTAGTAAATTTAATTATGGTGTTGTTATCAGTTAGATGTTAATTTTGATTGGATGACGGTGCTCCTTGCTACCCGCTCTTTTCCTGTGTGCCACTGAGAAGAATATACAACAATTTTTGACAGTATCTGTGCCTTCTTTGTCTCACCAGCAATGTTTCAAGGTTTATGTTCTGATGAGGCAGACAAAGAAAATATAATTAAAAGAGGAAACTAAAAAATTTTTGACAACTATTATAAAAAGTTTTAGTGCTGCCCTCTATATAAAAAAAAACAAAGCAATTTTAATAAATGTTTTTTTTTTTTTCCCTTTCCTTTTGAAAATTCATAGATTTTACTTTTGATTAAAGCAAGTGATTAAATAATAAATATATATAAAAAGAATTTCATCATAAAACGTGATAAGCAAAAATATTTATTTCGCCTTGCATGAATTTTGGAATATAAAGAATTATCCTCGATAATATATTATTTGTGCAAAAAAAAAAAAGATATTGTCAAAATGACTTTGCTTATAAACAGAAAAAACTTTGGAATACATGAAAATATGCTCAATAATGTATTATTTGTGTCATAAAAAGGTATTGTCAGGATGATTGTGCTTATTGTATGTCTTATTGTTAAGATACCTACATGAAAAATATCAGAACAAGTATATCTCTGGTTCTCCTGGTAATCAGATAGATTTTTAAGATTTCAATCCTGCTTTTGTCAGAGATGATTCATTAAATTTGGACTGCGTCATTGCATTTGCTTTGCCTTTGTATTAATTTGTGATTCTAAATGCGCCTTCTTTTACTCTTTATCATAAAGGTTTTTATATGTTAAAGGTGATTATCACAAACACCCTGCAAAATTTATGTTTTCTTCTCTGGCTGATTTTGATCATTTATTTCCATGCTCATGGTTTACTCTCAACATAAAAATACAATATATTTTTCGCTTAGAATTAGTTTATGGAATGATTAGTTCTTAGAATTAGTCTATAGTTTTCACCTAATTTGAAAGTATAATTTGAACCCTCCGAAAACATTTTGTAAGCAAAATAATGCACTGTAAAGAAAGAATTAAAATGTAAGTATTGTTTGTTTTTCTTAAGTTTGGTTTTTTTCTTACTTCTTATCTTTTTCTTTCCTTTTACTTATCTTCTATTTGTAATTTAAATAAATATTTCATTGTAATTAAAATTTTAGCATGACGGAAAACCTTAACTTCTTTATTAAGAATATTTATAGTCATAATTGGGAACAAAAACATTATACTATTAAGTTTTGCTAGAAAAAAATTTTATCTAATTGTAATAAAGTAAAAAGTTTATATGAATCTGAATACTGTTATGTATATAGATCGTTTAACTTTTTTTTTAAACATATAATATTTTTCTACAAGGAATTAATATTTCTCCTGATATTAATTAATTAAGGGAATAATTTATTTTCTTAGAATTAAAAGGTTCGGACATAGAGTGATAAGCGAAATCTTTTCCCTCAGTGACAATTTTACGTCAATTTTTGCTAATAATATTGTTTCCACAAATAAATACTTTAAGATTTCCAAAGTTCTATGA